ACAGAGGCCTTGACAACCTCTTTTCACTTGTGCCCCGTGGTAAGACAGTGGGCAATGGATTAAAACTGGAGCACAGGAAGTTCCACCTCAATGTGAGGAAGAACTTCTTTCCTGTGAGGGTGACAGAGCCCTGGGACAGGCTGCCCAGAGAGGTTGTGGAGTCTCCTTCTCTGGATGCCTTTCTGAGTGATCTGCCCTAGTTTTGGTCCTGCTCTGGCAGGTGGGTTGTACTTGATGATCTTCAGAGGTCTCTTCCAACCCCTGACATTCTGTGATTTCCCAGCACCTTTGATGGCTCCTTAGTGTTTCTAGTACTCTTTGATGGTCTAAAATGTTTCTTACTTGTATCTGGATTCTTCCTTTCTAAGGAAAGGCTAGTCAAGACAGGAGTTCATGGCAAAGTTGCAGGAATATCTTTGATTCTCCATCTGCCTCTCCTGCAGCTTGGGAGGAGCTGGAGAGGTAACACAGAGGAGCACAGTCAAAACCTGGAGGTAGCAGGACATATCTGTGTGCCTGTCCCATGCAGGGTGTCTGTTTGCACAACACTGTGGGGAGAGAAGTGGATAGGCTGGATGGGACAGAGTGTGGTGCTGTACCGTGACTCCTTGCTCGTCTTGGAGCAGAGATGGGCTGTGGTTAGAGAAGGTTCTGGGCTTGCACCTGTCCAGCACCCCAGTATGCAATAGACAGGGCTTACATGGTCCAGCCTTTCTCAGAGGTCAAAAGTGTGTGGATCTGGGCTTCATCCATCAGCACCCACCAGTGCTGTGAGTTCAGAAATAGGGCTGTGGCTACAGCAGAGCTGGTGGGCAGCCTGCCTGCAGACCGGCCTTTGCCCGGGCAGATGTCTTCTCACCCAGCTGCTCTCCTTGACTAGGAGACCCAGGCTCTGGTTTGCACCCTGTCCATGCCGGCATTCCCAGAGTCCTGCAGCCTCTGGGAGCTGGAGAGCAGTGAGGGCTCAGAAGAAACCTGTAGTTGTCCCTGGGTTAAGAGTGAGGTTAAAAGCTGCTTATCTTTGCTAGACGCTCTGCAATAGGGCATGTCCAACATGCCTGCTGCCATCCAAGGGGCTGTAGGTTTCTCTACAGTGCTGTTGTGTGGAGTTTCCAAACTTCCTGTGGCATTCAGGGGAGAAATCAAAGCTGGTGTAGACTTGCAGGAACTCTCCTCAGTGTGCCTCAGCAAGCACCCATCTCAGGTGGGAGCAGGGGGGTTGAAAGGGCAGCATATACAGCAGCTCAGGCCAGGATAGATTCCAGCCTTGCAGCTTCCTCCATAACATATCACTGCTATCTGAACATATTAAGGCCTTCTCCTTCCTCCTCTTGCAGATGTCCTTGCAAAGCTACCGCAGAGCATGGAAACAGGTCAAGATGTATGGTAACCAGTACTAGGCTCTCTGGTCCTGCAAGGTGGGCAGTGGAAGCTGCAAAAGGAGCCAACCCTGTGGGGAAGTTTGCTGTGAATTGGGTGAATGTAGCACCCTGCAAAGCTGCAGTGAGATGAGGCCCCTTCTGCATGAAATTATAAAGAAACCCATAGCTCTGTTGTGAGACCATCTCTTTGGTCTGTCTCAGCATGTGCTGGCTTCCACCAGGCTCTGCTGCCTGGCCACCGTGCAGGCCCTGCTGGGTGAGCCAGCTCTGCTTTGGGTGCTTCCCCTCTCTCCATCACCCAAGCAGTTATCCTTTGGTGATCAAACCTGACATGTTTGCAGGAACTGTCCTCTTTCCTCTGGACAAGCTGTGCTGAGCATGTTATGCAGGAGGAACCTGAGGGGATTCCCTGGGAGACGTGGGAGCTCAACACCTCTGAGTGTGCACCAACAATAGAGGAGAGCAGAGCCATGTGAGCATGTAGGGCAAATAATTTCAGTGTGTCATGCACGAACCAGGCAGGCTTTTCAGCTGCAGTAGGACACTTCATTTACCTACAGAAAAGACGCAGCAAGAAGGGAGCAGCTGCCCCTTTCTCAAGCATCTGAGGCAAGTCTAAGCATCCCTTGGAGATGGGAAGTGTTTTCCTACTGTAGGAGGCCCTCAGATGCCCCAGCCTCAGATGGATTCTGTCTTTTCCATCTTGGGGTTGAAACCAACTTCCTGAAATATCCTCACTGCTAGTCTGGGAGCCTCTTCCCTGTATTTGGGTGGAGCCCAGATCATCTTGCACCCTGACCAACACAGGGGGTATGGGAAGTTGTGTCCTCTCGCTGGTGGCTGGTCACTATAGTGGGGTGTACCCCACTGACACTAGGGTGTGCAGTAACTGTCCTGGCTTTGCTTTCTCACCCAAAGACCCCCTCCCCAGCCAAGACGGTGAATCAGGAACAGGAGAGAAGCTCCCTGGGTTGAAATATAAATGGAAATAACAAAAAAATAATGAAATAACAAAACTGAGGTTAAACAAGAGCAAGTGCAGAGTTGTACACCTGTGAAGGAACAACAAAATGCACCAGTACTGGTTAGGAGGTGATTTGCTAGAGAGCAGCTCCATGGAGAAGGACCTTGCAGTCCTAGTGGAATAAGTTATCCATGGGACAACAATGTGCCCTTCTGGCCAAGAAGCCCAATGGAATTCTGGGGTGCATGAGGAGTGTGTCCAACAGGTCTAGGGAGGTTCTCCTCCCCCTCTAGTCAGCCCTGGTGAGACCTCACTTGGAGTATCGTGTCCAGTTCTGGGCTCCCCAGTTCCAGAGGGACAGGAATTTGCTGGAGAGAGTCCAACAGAGGCTCTGAGGATGATGAAAGGACTGGAACACCTGCCTGATGAGGAAAGGCTGAGAGACCTGCAGCTGTTCAGTCTGGAGGGGAGAATACTGTGGGGGGATCTAATTAATGTCTCTCAATACATGAGGGCATCAAGAAGGCAGGGACAAGCTCTTGTCACTTGTGCCCTGGGACAGGACAAGGGGCAACAGATTGACACTCGGGCCCGGGAAGTTCCACCTGAACATGAGGAAGAACTTCTTTGCTGTGAGGGTGACAGAGCCCTGGGACAGGCTGCCCAGAGAGGTTGTGGAGTCTTCTTCTCTGGAGACTTTCCAGCCCTGTCTGGATGCCTTTCTGAGTGACCTGCCCTGGTTTTGGTCCTGCTTTGGCAGGAGGGTTGACCTGTTGGTCTTCAGAGATCCCTTCCAACCCCAAACATTCTGTGATTCTGTGAATATAAACACCAGATGAATGGTGATGATGGCAGCTGGTCCAGAGGAGGTGTTTGCAGCCAGGGGCTCTCCAGGCCAGCCCATGCCCCACCGGTGACTCCTCAGCCCAGGCCAGGCCACCTCCAGCCCTTGCCCTCTGCCCCAGGGGCTTAGGGCTCTGCTCCCCAGGCAGCCCCTGCTGCCCAGACTGGCCTCGCTACAGAGCACCACGGATCTCTACACTGTTTGAAGAGAGCTGTGGTGGTGGCTCCCATCCTACGTGCTCAGGTTGGGTTCCATCATCTTGGGACATGGGGAGAAAACAGGGCTGGGAGGAGCCAAAGGTGGGAGCAGGTTTTGCTCTGAGCATGGAAGAAGAAGAGCAGCCATGGCTAGCAGAGCCTGCAGGCAGCAGCAGAGATGGCTCCCCCAGGCTGGGGACACAGAGGGGGTGTGCCTGCTGCCTGTGCTGCCCACATGCCTTGGGTGGCAGGGCTGGCACCAAGCCATGGCTGTGTCAGAAGGGGCCAAGACCCCCCTCCTCCAAGATGGTTTACATGGAGATCCAGGCCTGGCAGCAGGAGCAGAGCGGGGCTGCAGGTGCTGCCAGCGCAGGGCCAGGTGTCTCCCTCGCAGGAGAAGGAAGGCAGGTGAAGGAGCAGGGAGGAATGAGCAGCTCCTTATGTGCCAGCACTTCCAGGGACGGGGCAGCCACAGCTTCCCTGGGCATTTCTTCCTCATGTCTAACTTAAATCTCCCCTCTTCCAGTTTTAATCATCAGTTCAAAACACAAGCAAGGGAAGGGACTGATGGGAATGGAGACAGGAAGATCAGAGCTGCCCAAGGAGATCTGGCCAGTCCCATCTTGTGCCTACAATAACAACCTGTGTGTGGGGCATCTCACAGCTCCCCTACAACCATCCCTAGAAGACACCCCCTGGCCACATGCAACAGCCCAAGTGTGTCCCAGGACCTGCGTGAGGTGGTTGTTGCCGACGGGCGCTTGCACAGGATCCTCTGAGTGGCTCCTCATGTCCCGTGGCAGTGCAGCCCCAGGGCCAGGCCCTCTCCTCCCTGTCCCTCGGGGCTCAGGGCACCAGAGATGGCCCCTCTCCAAGGACAGGACTGACGAACAGGGAAAGGGCCCCCACAACACTTGGCCATGGGCAGCTCCTGGAGGGAGCACTGGGATACCTGGCACAGGATGGCTGCGCATCCCTGCCCCAGCGGGATGATGGGATGCTTTGCCCCTTCCCTGCCCCTGCTGGGCACAGGGGCTGCCCCCTTGCAGGTGAAGTTTCCAGTGTCCTGGGGACAGAGCTCAGGTCATGCATGGCCAGAAAGACACAGCAGGGGCTATAAAAAAGGGAAAAAGTTGGGACAAAAAAACTCCAACATTTGCGTGGAGCGACCAGTGGAAAAGGGGGTGGGAGGTGAGGGTCAAACCTGGGAGGCTCTTAGAGGTGTCAGGGTTGCTGGGGGTGCTGCCTGGGGATGCAGGGAAGACCCTGCTCCACCAGCTGCAGGACATCTTCACCAGCCTCCTGCTGGGTACCTGCAGCCAAGGAGGAGGATCCCTAGAGGTGTCCCAGCTTGGAAAGGGAAGGCAAAACTTAAAATGAGCAGGTACAAAATGCAGCCAAAACCTCAGCAGCAGCTTCTGAAGGAGCTGGAGGAGGAACTGGGCTTTAAGGGAGATGTGCAAGGTCTCCTCCAGGCTGCAGAAAGCGAGATGGGGGGGTGTTCAGGACATCTCACTGCAGGCCATTCCCTGGGGGCAGTTTCCAGCCTACATGCCAGGAGGTCCGTGGGATTGAGTTTAGAGCAAACACCACTTGGCCATGGCTCCCACCCTGTCCTTCCAGCAAGGACCTGCACTTGAGTGGGATGTGAGGGCAGCCATCCCTCCTCCCCCTGACATGATGCTGGGGCAACCAGGGAGGCTGGGATGGTGCAGAAGCCAACAAGGGATCAGCAGGGGGGCTGCTGGCCACCACCAGCAGCTGAATAAGAGCCAGTGTGTATGCCCAGCTGGCCAAGAAGATCACCAGCATTCTGGCTTGTATCAGCAGGACCAGGGCAGGGATCATCCCTGTGTGCTGAGCACTGGTGAGGCCACACCTCAGATCCTGGGGTCAGCTCTGGGGCCCTCAGGACAAGAAGGACATTGAGGGGCTGGAGCGTGTTCAGAGAAGGGCAATGGAGCCGGAGAAGGGTCTGGAGCACAAGTCTGAGCAGGAGTCGCTGAGGGATCTGGGGGTGTCCAGCCTGGAGACCAGGAGGTGAGGGGAGACCTGCTGGCTCTGCAGCTGCCTGAGAGGAGGTTGGAGCCAGGGGTGTTGGTCTCTTCTCACAAGGAACAAGTGACAAACCAGGAGAAAACAAACACAAGTTGCACCGGGAGTGGGGGGGGGGGGGGGGAAAAAAAAGGTGTGTAGATTGGATATTAGGAACAATTTGTTCATGAAAAAGGGTGATCAGGCCCTGGCCCAGGCTGCCCAGGGCAGGGGGAGTCCCCATCCCTGGAGGTGCTCCCTGGCCAGCCTGGTACTGGAGGACCACAGCTTGGTGCTGCTCTGGGGGGAGGATCCCAGGGCTGCCTTAAAGGTTTCAAACTAAAATGATTCCATGATTCCCATAGCCAGGCTGGTTGGCTCTTGGGTTGGCCCAGCACAGCCCTTCTCATGTTCCTACAGCATGAAGTGATCTATGGTAACGGTCTAATGGCAATTAGGACTTCTTATCCCAAAACCCTGGCAGGATTGTTAGCCCAGCTGAAGTGCATCTACACCAAAGCGTGCAGCTTAGGCAATAAACAGGAGGAGATGGAGACCACTGTGCAGCAGGACAGCTATGACATGGTTGCCATCACAGGATGGGATGATGACCATGACTGAAGTACTGCAATGTGTGGCTCTGAGCTCTTCAGAAGGGACAGGCAGGGAAGGAGAGATGGTGGAGTGGCCCTGGGTATTGAGAGTTTTGATTGTGTAGAACTTGACAAATGTGACGGTAAGGTCAAGTGCTTATGGGTGAGGACTAGGGGGAAGGCCGACAAGGAAGGCAGACATCCTATTGGGAGTGTGTTACAGACCACCCAACCAGGATGAGGAGGCTGACGAGGCATTCTACAGGCAGTTCGCAGAAGTCTCCCTCCCTGGCAGAAGCCAGCCCTCGTTCTCATGGGGGACTTCAATTTTCCACATGTCTGCTGGAAATACAGCACAGCAAAGAAGAAACACTCTAAGAGGTTCC